GTGTGGACACGACCCAACCACGATACCTCCACGTCCCCCCATTTAGCCAATTGACCCCCCCAGCTTAAATAATAGGGCTACATCGTTTTCTTTAAGAGAGGTTGCGATTTTGTTAGTTTTGTGCCTATATAATTAAGAGATACATTACGCCAATAATATGGGTAGGTATGTGTGAAATTTTGTAAAGCCCTCTCTGAAATTCCTATGTGAAGTGCTTTGAGTTTTCTTTGTATTATTTTTGTAGTACGAGACTTCACTATACTGAAAGTGTGGTAATAGCCAGGATTGAAATATCAGGATTGGTCAGAAATAGTAGCACATCGTCTGCAAAAAGCGCTAATTTTTGCTCTCCACACGGGGTCTGTAAGCCACTAATATTAGGAGTTTGTTTGATATGTCTAACTAAATATTCTAAACTGAGAATGAAAATAATCGACGAGAGCGGGCAGCCTTGTCTTGTACCATTAGAGATGTTAAATGCCCGAGACAGAAAGCTGGTATTACATTTTTTGGCATAAGGCTTGGTATAAGGAGCTAGAATGGTCTTTAAGAATTTAGAGGAAAAGCCCATTTTAAATATTCAAGAGGTATTAGAGAGAGTTGATGTAACCTCTCAGTATGAAAAAATGGCATATCGGTTAAGGGGTAAAGATAAAAATTATGATAAAGATTGGTGTGGGTGGCAAAGAATCAAAGATAAAAATATGGCACTTTAATGCACCACCTTGTGTTTGTGATTTAATACAAAATCATCTTACAATTTATTCTCAAATTTAAATTGAATACTAATACTCAAACCTATATTAGAATATTAAAGATGATTATTAATTAATAAATTGGTATTAAAGTAGAGGCGTATATTAGCATATGGAGGATTTATACTAATACACTGGTTATGCATTTAGACTATAAAACTGTTGTTTTTTGTTTTCTTTTCCTCCCTTTTTTTTTTTTCTTCATTCCAGTTCTGAGAGTTTATGAGCCTGACTTTCAAAGGATAAATAATTAGATACCAGTTGAATAGTTACGGACCAACTATCTACGAATACCTAATGTTTATGGAAATTTATGAGCAGTTACAACAATATAACTGGTGAAAAGCATAGAGTATAAAGTTATTATTGCTTAACCCCTTAAGGACACATGACGGAAATATTCTGTCATGATTCCCTTTTATTTCTGAAGTTGTGTCCTTAAGGGGTTACAACAAGTATGTTGATAATTTTATGGGCGATTCTTTTATTTGTTATAAATTATAGCAATGAAATGCCTACCAGGTGGAATTGTAAATGAACATGTTAGATTTTGAATGGTTATTATGCTGTAATGTAACTTGTTCATGTATGAGTCTCGTGAATTGGAATGTTAATGTTATTGTCATTGTTAATACTTTGCCTTGTATTTGTACTTGTATATGAAAAAAGAATAAAAAGATAAATACTGAAACATTTTTTCTTAATACATGTTTTAGCAGTAAGTATCCTTGCAGACATGGCCTGGTATAGACATTTACCTTTAGTCAAGTAATTTTATAACATGACAGGAGGCTTCATATTTGCTTAAGTCTCTATTTACTAGAACTTCACAGCAGCACATTAACACAGAGAAAAACAACCAATCAGGAAAAATGTAGGTACTATAAAACTCCTCTCCCCACACATCACTTCCTCTTTTTTTGCTGCCCCACATCAGTACAGGTCAGAGTACCACCGCCTCCTGTTTTTAGTTGGTGGCTGTGAATGTTATGTTATGCCTACTTTAATTGTATATTGATTTTAAGGGATTTTTTTTACTTTCCTCTCCCCTGTTTATTCCATTACTTCTACCTGTTTTTTTCCTACCTAAGTTTCCCTTAGGCTTGTCTAGCCTTTCTCTGGCTGACTTGATCTACACTTGCAAACCCTTTATACTTTGCAGCAAGGAGCTATAACTGTCTTTGAGATATTCTGTCTGTCTGCTTTGCACTATTCTGTCATTAAGTGTTCTTGCATAGCAAGACCACTTAATGTTATCTCACATATATATTATTATTCTTATTCTTATTAAGTGTTCTTGCATAGCAAGACCACTTAATATTATCTCACATATATATTATTAAGTGTTCTTGCATAGCAAGACCACTTATTGTTATCTCACATATATATTATTATTCTTATTATAGCCAAATTTGCCACCCTAACTCCTCCCACAGTTTTTACACTACATAGACAAAAATTTACCAAAACGTGCAGATTGTTCCCCATCGGATTGCTATTACTTTGTGGAACGTTTCGCCGAATGGTTCACGGAATATCGTCGTTCTTGTGGCGAAATTTGTTCCATAGGAATGAATGGCAAAGCTAGAGTGGGAGCTGGCAAAAGCTGAAAAATCAGGACATGATTTCTAAACTGCCACCACTCCCTCATTTCCAAGCCCACCTACACAAATCTTATATCAAAACGTTCAGCTATCCCTGCTGCCACTAAACATGTCCACGGCTAAGCCATAGTCCTGATAGTTTTCACAATATAATCATTTGTTTGCAACTAACGCCGTCCATTGACATTCATTGAAACTTCACTCTGCAAAGCTCAAATTTGAAGTGCAATTTCTAAACTGCGACTGTGCCTTCATTTTTAATACTTCAGAGACATACTATACATCAAAATGTAGGCCTGGGTCTTGTGATTCTCACAATATAAAGCTCTTCGCTGTAGGATGTATAGTTTTTAAAATACGACCATTTGAAGATGGCAACTGCCAAAATACTCTGACCTGTGCCAGGCTGGAGCAGCAAGTGATGTCATAGACAGGGCCTTTTGTACACCTGCTAATGTTTTTATAAATGTATGGTTTAATGTAACTGTGAAGCACTTTGGGCAACAACGTTGCAATTAAATGTGCTATATAAATAAATAATAACAGTTACTACTGGTGGAGGCAAGAACACTTCACACAATTTCCCCAGAAATTGTAGCTTTTCTAGTTATTAAGTGTTCTTGCATAGCAAGACCACTTATTGTTATCTCACATATATATTATTATTCTTATTATAGCCAAATTTGCCACCCTAACTCCTCCCACAGTTTTTACACTACATAGACAAAAATTTACCAAAACGTGCAGATTGTTCCCCATCGGATTGCTATTACTTTGTGGAACGTTTCGCCGAATGGTTCACGGAATATCGTCGTTCTTGTGGCGACATTTGTCCCATAGGAATGAATGGCAAAGCTAGAGTGGGAGCTGGCAAAAGCTGAAAAATCAGGACATGATTTCTAAACTGCCACCACTCCCTTATTTTCAGGCCCACCTACACAAATCTTATATCAAAACGTTCAGCTATCCCTGCTGCCACTAAACATATCAACGGCTAAGCCATAGTTCTGATAGTTTTCACAATATAATCATTTGTTTGCAACTAACGCCGTCCATTGACATTCATTGAAACTTCACTCTACAAAGCTCAAATTTGAAGTGCAATTTCTAAACTGCGACTGTGCCTTCATTTTTAATACCTCAGAGACATACTATGCATCAAAATGTAGGTCTGGGTCTTGTGATTCTCACAATATAAAGCTCTTGTAGGATATATAGTTTTTAAAATACGACCGTTTGAAGATGGCAACTGCCAAAATACTCTGACCTGTGCCAGGCTGCAGCAGCAAGTGATTGTGGGGATATTTATGGGATAATAATAGTAAACAGTGAGAATTGCCCACTAATTCAATTCTCAGACCCAAAGATCGTTATCGTAAGTGAAAAGTATTTCATATAATAAAATCACAATATTATAAAAATAGATTTATTTATAATAACCAATAATTAACAAATAATATTATGTAACATGCGTGACAATAATCAATGAATATCCAGTATAAAAAGATATGCAATACAAAGGAATGGCTATACATGTTTCAATGGCTAAACAGCATTTTCTGTCAATACTTACACGATTTATGAGGTATCCTTAACACAGAAAGCTTTTCACAGCGAAGTGCCATAAAACCCTGGCTAATAGTTAGAATGAGAAAAAAAATATCAGATAAAATCTAATAAATTTCAGGAGTGGTTTTCCTTTAAATTGATGATATATGGAGCAAATATTAATAGCTTATCAAAAACAATAATAATTGAATCTAATACAAATTGTGCAATATTTCACCTATGGTTTGTTGCCATGCATTCATTAAAAAATGTATCTGAATTACATAGAAAGCAAGTATAACTTTGTAATAGAAATGTCTCTATATGGATACAATAGTCTCTTTCAAAATGACACCATGGTCTGTGATATGTTAGCTGTTACAGCTTTTCTCCAGTTATGATCGAACTGGAATGAATTAGCTGAAATGAGCTGAGTTAATATAGTACAAAATTATATATATAGGCAAATGTGCAGTGTAATATATAATTATATGTACTTGATGTAGAGTATAGTAATAGCTAACAGATCATAGGTAGTGATCTGTAGTTTAGTGGATAAGTTCCGTATTTTTCACAGTGAGTGAAGCAAAATCCGAGGTGCTATGTGCATTAGAATCTGTTTATTAAATCAAATAAAAGAGAAAGATTTGTGCACTTACAATTATGCAAAGAGTCTAAGTGCTTAACTGGAGTCTGGGGAGTCCGGTGTTTGCTGCTTGTTCTTTTCGGTCCGCCGGCAAATGAATGGACCTGTTGATAGCCACGTGCGTGTCACCGATCTCCTGCGTTCCAAGTGAAGCCCGGTCTTCTTTGCGATAGGTGCCACAAAGTGATAGAGTCCTTACGCGTTTCGTGAGTCTAATGCTCACTTCATCAGAGGATATTGAGCAAGGGGAGCCCACGGGTTTAAATAGCCGATTGCTACTTTAGTTTATGTTAACCCTTTCAGGCTTGTGGTCATACTTGCTCTGGTGATTAAAATTATTTTGATGGTGTACACATACATTCTTTTGATAAATTTAAGAATATATTTCGTAATTTAAAACAAATACTTATAAAACAAAATTCTAAGAGATTATTATAGGAAAAATTAACACATTATTAAAAGGTATTTCATAAGAAGAATGAACACATCATTAAAAAGTATTATATAAGAAAATAACAAATGTTGAAAAATAATAATAACATCATTAAAAAATAATATAATATGATGATATAACAACATATTAAAAATAATGTAGCAACATGTTAAAATGATAATATAGATACCTTAAAAAAATATAATATATTCAATATATCAATGTGCAGATGGAGATGAAGACTTTTAATATGGAGAAAAATTTCATCAATAGTATGGGAATGAACAATAGAGATGTTTGAGAATTGATATATTTGTATGAATATGAATTATTAAAATGAGAAGATAAGAACATGTTGAAGAAAAAATAAAAAGATATATTACAAAATACTATAGAAATGCTCGCAACTCAAAATCTACATTAAGTCCTTTTGGTTCTAATGTATCTAGTTTGAATATCCAACTTGCTTCTGCTTTATCTAATTCTTTATTTAAGTCCCCTCCTCTCCATGGGATGTTTACTTTTTGTATTGCCATAAATGTAAGGCCTCCAGGATTTCTCGTATGTTTAACATCAAAGTGCTTTGAGAGATTATGTGAATGAAGTCCATTTCTAATATTCCTAATATGTTCTCCCATTCTTGTTTTAAATGCTCTTTTAGTGCGCCCTATGTATAATTTCTCACAGGGGCATTTTAGCAGATAAATTACACCAGTGGTGTTACATGTTAGTTGTGATTTAATTTTAAATAAATCTTGTGTTTGGGGATGAGCAAATTGTGTTGTTTTAGTAGGTTGATTTGGATTATTTTTGCAAGCTTGACATCTTCCACATTTCCAAAAACCTGAAGATTTATTTGGAATGATGGTGGTATTTTCTTGTGGTTTTTCTTGTTTGGTGGTAGGAGCTAGTAGTAGACTTAGATTTGGAGCTCTAGAGTATATTATCCTAGGTTTATTTTCTAATATTAGATCTAATTGGGGATCACCTTTTAGTATGCTCCAATTTTTTTGTAAAATTTTTTAAAATTCCTGAGTATGATTATTATATCTGGTTATAAATGCTGGAGCTTCTAAATTGATGTTAGTAGTTTTTGATTTTGTTGCCAAAATTTGCTCTCTTGTCAAGCTTGAGGTTTTGGATAAGGCTTCATTGAGTATATTTGTTGAATAGCCTTTATCTTGAAATTGTGATAACATATTTGTAGTTTGTTCATCACAAACATTAGGTTCTGAGCAATTTCTTTTGATTCTCCTAAATTGGCTGAATGGAATATTGTTAAGCCAACTTTTTTTATGAAAACTGTTGTGAGGGATAAAACTATTACATGCTACTACTTTCCTAAAAGCATACTTTATTACATCCTCAATCCATGTTTTATCCTGAACAGGTCAAAACAGACCATATTAGAGTCTTTGAGAAAAATATGGAGAAGGATCTTAGAACATTAAAATTAAAAGAAAACACTAAAGATAATCTCACTAAATATGAGAGAAGGGCCTTAAAAAGACTTATGGACGATGAACAAATTACTATAAGAGGGGCAGACAAAGGAGGAGGCCTAGTGGTGCTAAACACAATAGATTATAAAGCAGAAAATATCAGACTCCTCCAAGATACTCAAACATATCAGATTTTAATCAATGACCCCACTAAGGAGTTCCAAAAAGAATTACAGATATTATTAGAAGAAGGTAAAGAGAGAGGTATTTTAAACAAAAAGGAATACGATTATTTATATTGCAAATTTCCAAGAATGGCAATATTTTATCATGTACCAAAAATTCACAAAACCCTAATAAAACCACCAGGACGCCCCATCATTTCTGGCATTGGGTCTTTAACGCCCAACCTATCCGAATATGTTGACCAATTTCTTCAAACAATTGTTCCAAAATTACCATCCCATTTGAGAGATACAACTCATATAATTAAAATTCTATCAGATATCC